TTAAGATTATTTTCAGTATATTTCAAATTAAATCAATAAAAAATTTGTTCTTGGAGCATAGGGTATTTGATATAACAAAGTAGTCGGCGCTTTTTGCTTCTAAACAGAAGCATTCCATTTAGTTTTAGCTTTCAAATTCCCTTCGACCCACAAAGCAATGCATACAACAGACAAAAACCGTTATTATCGCTTTTTGAAATAGTAGAACTTTTTAATGTTTAACCAAAAAAAAACACACATTGTCAGCCTGTTTTGTCGTAAGGTCAGGAAAGTACTCGGAATTTTCTATCCTTGTTTCTTTAATTGAGTGAGCTACCAGTTATAATTATAACAATAATTGAAATTAAATTGCATTGAATAAAAAACAACTTTTAAAAAACTGGAGACCCTCTTTGTTTAAAAGAAAAAACTTTATAACATGTACTTAATTCTCTCTGTTGGTCACCTTTGAACCATTTAAAAAAAAATAACAATTTCATAAATTTTTATAATTTAAGAACTTGTTCGCTATAGTGGACTTATCTTGATATTAAGTTGGTATAGATGCAAATGCCAGTTCCTTCTCTCCGGTTTTGCTGGCAGCGGATGCATTTGTGCAGCAATTAACCATTCAGTATGCATGTCCAGTCTTCAGGGAAGGATATTACGGAATGGAACATTATCCTTATATGAAGAAATAATGCAAATTGGAATCTAAAAATCCGTTCAGTTTAGAGCAGGTTGTCCCGGCTAAATTATAGTATTAAGGGCAACTTAGCGTTAAGGTTATATTAAATAAAATTATATCTAACTAGCCTTTATTTTCTGTAATCTGGCAGCGTTTGGGAATTTCGGATTAGTGGATTACTATGTATGGAGTGATTCACTCCCCGTGTTGTATTAATAGTTTTTGAGAACCAACATGGGGGACGTACGGCTTTTGAAAATAATATATTTTTTTGGTAAACAAACCTATGAAATGCGAAAAATCTTTTTTGATTTTCAGGCGTTTATTCTTGCTCTAGTATGTATATGAAATGGTATAAGTTTAAATAAATGTTGTTATTATTCTTTTTCTTCCATTGCCCTCTCCGTTGAGGACTTTGGCTGTTAACATGGCTATTTTTATCTTTTTTACGGCATTTCTGAACAAGTCATTAGATGATAATCCAAACTATTGGCGCAGGTGGTGCATCGACGAATGTCGTTTCTTTCCTGGTCCTCTCCTGCCATACACCTTGCCCCGTACTGCAGACAGTAGTTATCATGCCTTATGATGTGATCGAAGTATTCGAGTTTCCGCCTGTTCACCGTGAAGATGGTCTCCTTTTCTTTTCCCAGTCTTCATATGACTTCCATATTGGTGATGCAGTCCGTCCACGATATTTTCAGAATGCGTCGGTATATCCACATTTCAGTAGGCTTCTAGTCTCATTAAAGTGGCCCCGGTTGTGGTCCAAGCCTCTACCCCGTAGAACAGAACAGAGAACATGTAACATCTGACCAGCCTCAGTTTTAGTTGCCAGGAAATATCCTTGCTGGTAAATAGCTTCGTCATGTTGTTAAACTTAGCTCGAACCTTTTCTATTCGTGCTCGTATTTCTGGCCTGGTCCCATTTCGAGTTCGTGGTTCCAAGCTATGTATATGTTTCTACTTGATCTATGTCCCGATCGTTTATTGTTAGACCCCTTGGGGGATGTTGACTTTTGCTAATTATCATCCATTTGATCTTTGATGTGTTCAGTGAGAGACCATATTCTTCACTAGCACAATTTTCTGCAAGTTTTCGTTTTTATTCGCTATTATTACTGTGTCATCAGCATATCTAATGTTGTTGACTGCTTCTCCATTTATTTTGATTCCATCTGATGTTTCGTCTAGTGCTTTTTTAAAGATTTCCTCAGAGTATATGCTCAACAAGAATGGTGACAGAATGCAACCTTCTCTCACTCCCCTTCTGTTAGCAATTTCGTTGCTAAATGAGTTACCAGCTTTACTTGACTCCAGTACATGTTAGTACATGTTATCGATGCAAGTGTTTCTGAGCACCTCGATGAGTTTTTTATTTCATTTCGTTTCGTTCGTATATGTATTTGTTCATGTCTCTGCATCTTTGGGTGAGGACCTGCAAGCTGAAAATAGCTTCCCTTGTACCCAGTGCACTACGAAAGCCGAACTGAGTCTCGGCGATGTTCATTTCACATTTTTTGTGTATTCGGTTTTGTTTATTTTTTATGAAAAATTTTGTCATATAGTTTGTCAGACTTATTAGGCGATGTTGTTCATAACATTTCGCATTTAGTGTTTTGTTATTATTAGTTATTATTATCAGTCAAAAAAAGTTTTTTTTATGGTTAGCTCACTTATGGACCTAGACATTCATTCTGTTTTATTTACAGAGTGAATATAGGTATCTAAAGAAATATCTTAAGAAATCATCGTAGGAGAGAGGCAGGCACAATAGTTACTTATGTATGATCTATTCGAATCAGCAATAAAATATAGAATATTTTATTTGAAATTCTACAGTTGCCATTTGTTTTAGGTAGAGAGCTGTCAAAATATTTATAAAACTTTTAATAGAACGCTCAACGTTTATGAGATTCAAAAACCCTGATTTCGATCAATATAATTTACTTCCATCTGGGTATCTGAACCAGCAATATTAATTAATGGCAATCGGTTAGCGTGCGCTGTTTTTAAAGTGATTACATGTACCGGACCCCTTTCAATTTAAAATTCTGACGCACATTTGCCCCTTTCAAGCCGTAATTCGTTATTCCCAACAAGCTGTATAGCAAGCAGTTCACCAAATTAAAACTGGATGCTTACAAAAACGGACCGCCATATTCTCCTAACGATTCTCTGGAAACAAACAAAAAGTCAACAATTTTTCGCTGTCCGTTTTATCCTGCTTTTATGTTGCCTCGCTTTATTTATCTTTACGACAATTTAAAGCACCTATATCACAAAACATTAAAAAAAATTGTGTCGCGACAACTTCAAAAATTGATTTGCCCAATTTAAAAAATTAAAGTTTGATTTTTAGTGTGGAGGAGAGTTGCATTTATTTCAAACATATATATTAACCAAAACTGCAATCTCAATCATAAACAAAAATCTAAAGTTTTGCGACCACAATTAGTCCTACAATAACAGTCAAACAATAGTATAGGAAATTTAACAGACTTACGACGGCATTCTTTACCCATACCGGCGACCTGGCCTGTAATCGTTGACTCACCGGTTATCACGACGGTGATAACTTATTCACCCAATTAATTAGCGGACGTAAGATTGCCTTCCATTGAAAATTTAAAACTGCCAACCTTTTCGTAAATACGACCCCTAGCAATCTAATTTCATAAATACTCAATTGATATAATTTATTTAACGGGACACAAAATAACACACCATATTATGTAAAAATATACATAAAAAATAATTATTTATTATAAGAAAAATTAATTTTAAATGTAATAAAAACAAATCATACAAAAATACAAAAACAAAATGATATTTTTAAAACAGCTGCATGCCCCCCTTGTAACAGTCTCGGGCCCCTCTAGGGGGCTCGCCCCACAGGTGCAAACCACTGCTAACCAATCACTAAAATTTACATTAAATAAATAAAAATTAATAAATAAAACCTTTAAGCATTTATTTTAAGCTTGGCGAAGGTCAGCTGAGCCGTTTCAACTGAGCATGTAACAAGTCATACAACTTAATTTGGTATATAATGGTAGTATTATATAAAGGAAAATAATTAATTATCTAGGAATTTTTCCGTAAAAGACGTTTTTTTAAAATAAAATTTAAAACCGCAAAAAAGGGGTTCTTTTTTGAAATTCATATTTAGTAAAAACATCCCAGCAGATTCCATAAACAAAATTAAAGTAATTTAAATTACTGTGCTTCACAGAGATTTTTTTAAACTTAAAGTTCAGAACAGAGTATATTTCTTCTTTTGGACTTAAAATAGATTAGTGCTGCACTTTACTCTTTACCATGCCGTCGTTTAATCAAGACTTAAATGTGGAGTCCTGTTTCGATTTTGGCAGGATTTTGCTTCTACAAAAAGATTGTAATGTAGTATTTTTGATCCTACATTGATTTGGCGTGCATGTACTGGATTCTTTTCTGTCTGTATTTAAAAATAGAATTCTGTTTATTGACCCGTTACATAAACATAATTAAGTAACTAGATATAAATGAAACCTTTTTTACCTGACAGATGTAACTTCATCTATCACCAGAAAAATGCCAACCATTCCATAATTATAATCTATGAGAGTTTTCCAGAACATATTCGTTTCATGTGCGAGACAAGAAAGAAAAGCACAATTCATAACTTTGTTTTTCATTTATTCATTCAATGAAATCTTTAGCGATAACGATCAATCTCAATTTAAGATAGTATATTGCAGATGTGTGTTTCTTATCTCGACTTCTAATTTGTAATATACAGATGAGCGTTTGAAGACTTATTTTTATTGTTCTTTTAGACTGTTTTAAACTATGCTCCATGCCATTGGCCTGTGTTTTTTTTTGTTTTTTTTTATGGTCACAATTTGGAGAAAATACACGATAAACGAACCTTTCGATTTCTATTGCCAACTACCTACTTTGTATTTTGTATTTGGGTTGTCAAGTAATAAATAAAAAATTCCTAAGATGTCAAATTAAAAATCGGGGTTCTTAATTTGAATTTTCGAAGCGCTTTAAAACAAAGATTACTTTCAGAATGAACATTTTGTACGGAGGTAAAAAATACCATGTTCATTAATTATTAAAAATTATTTGGTATTGAGATTTTGAGAAATTTGATACCCCGTATTGTGCAAAATGATACATCGTGTTTATTTGAACTTTGCGTGTGAGCCACTTAAATAATACAGTTTAAATAAAATAAAATAAAACAAAATTCAAACTTTTTTTTTTTAATTGAATTTTCAAATGTATTAAATTGATCACTTTTAGCACTCGCTACTGTGTGAATAAAGTACTCCTTAATTTTTAGGTATCTTGGATAAGACACAGAGATCTTCATTTACTCACCGTCAATCGCCAAACTTATACGTCTGATCAGAGATTTTCTGCCCTCCACAATCCACAAACAGAGGATTGGACGCTGCAAGTCCGATATCCCCAACGAAGGGATGCCGGGGTGTACGAGTGTCAAGTTGGTACAACCCCGCCGATCGGTCTTTCGATGGGATTATCCGTCGTAGGTAAGTTTTAGGCTAAGATCAAATTTTGGTTAGTTTGGTTAGTGGAGCTGTAATTAAGTTTAAATTCCAAGTCAAACTTATGAGAAAACAGATTATTAAAATTAATTTATCACATTTATCAAAATGGGTGGTTGTTAAAAACTTTCACTATATGGCGCAATTATTTTTGAAATTGTCCGAAAAGGGTCAACATTGAATATTTTTTGGATTCTATGCGTATGTTTTAAATATAATGAGCTATAATTTGTACTTTTTATATGTTTTAAAATCAATGCTGAACAGTTTTTAACTTGCAATAATATTCTCCAGTCTTTCTGAGACGCAATTCCAATAAAGGCAATCTTAGTCCAGACAAGTTTTAACAACTCGTTATTTACATTCCTTAAACAATTTACGGAGGATATTCTTTTATTAAAATGCAAATTGAAATCTGGGTAGCTAGAACGCTTTATTTTTTTAACGTCTCTCGAGTTGAGTTGTTCACTTTTTGAAAATTATTTGGGGAATTCAGGTCAACGAAAATGTTCAGGTTAGCCAAAACTTGCTTTTACAATTGCTAATTGACAAGATAATTCCATTTTCAAAGTTGGCGTCGACAATGTAGTGTTGAAATATCACACCTCATCTGAGGCTATCGTGAAAAGAGACTTTGCATGAGATAAATTCAACAATTCAACACTGTAGCGTTTAGGTATAATAAAGCTTCTTGAACTATTATTTATACCGGAGGATTCAGAAATACCTTTTACAAAACTTCTGGATTCCTCCTGCGTCGATTTTTGCTGAGTCAAACTTGCTGACATTTCACCAATCATCCTGTTGCCTTCTTCAGAGCTTGACTGAAACTGGCTCCTATTTTACTCTGTACCTGCTTATATATTGTTTGAGGGGGGCTCTGATGAGGGGCATAAGCACAGTCTCGGATGACTGATTCCCATATTGGTGACAGGTAGAGACCTGAATCGCGGTTAAGATTGTTAGGTTGGTTATAGATTTCTATAGACTCTCGGATTTTTCGTTGGTAGAAAAATTGATTGCATGCAAGAATTTTAGTTTTATAGCATAACATTTTATGTTCGGTTTCGTGATTGTGTTCGGCAACAGCTGATGACTTTATTTGTCTTAGTTGTAAGGCTCTTCTTTCGTGTTCTTTGAGCTTACTTGATATTTTTCGACCGGTCTCTCCAATGTATTATTTGCCGCATATGCATGGAATGCTGTAAACTCCTGGCACCTAAAATGGAATTTTGTCTTTGACGGACCGAAGATGTTGAGAGATTTATGGATAAGTGGTAAATCTGGTTTTGACGTTATACTTCTTTAGAACTTTTGATATGTGGTCAGTGATGTTTTGAATGTAAGGAAGGACCACAGAGGTAAGTGTAGGATTGTTTTCGGCCTCATTGCTATTGGAAGGTTGTGGTAAAGTGTATTTTTTGAGGGAATGCTTAATATCTTGAATGTGGAAATTATTAGAGAGAAGAGCAGAGGTAAGGTGATTCAGAAATTCCAATATTTGGAGTTTTATTGAAACGTTTTTTGGACAACCTCCATAATATAACAAAATCTTTTAACCTGAAGTATGGATTACATACGTCGAGAGCAGTTTTCTCATTTTTTTCGTTATTAAATAATGCGGTAAAATTATGTTTGAAGTAAGGAATTAATTTGGAAATTTCAAAAAGTTTCTTCTCTCAGGTATGAATTTTCGGAGAATTGTCTGTTGCTTAGTGGTTTGCAAACGGGAAGGGTAGTCGATTAAACGACATAGCAACGGCGAGATTATATCCGGATTAGCTTCCCCAATACCTAATATTCCATCGTTATCTTCTGTACTTTTTAAAGCGGCGACTTTAAATTATCTTTTACCTTTTAAAAAGTATTAATAAACGTATGCAAATTCGAAAATGTTTGATAAGTATTTAGACTTTTTCTTTATTTTTAGGGTAGACTGAAATATCTATATTGTAAGTTTATTTTCCTTTTTCTGGCAAGATTTCATTAAAATATCGCTAGGTTAATTTGGGATTAGTACATTAGACAATAAGTATTTGTGCTTAATAATCGACTGACTTAAAAGTTTACCAAACGTGTTGCATACTGTACTTTTTCTACTACCATTTCCAAAACAACACGAATAGATTCACTGACTGTCTGACATGACCGTCAAAATTGACAAATGTCAAAAGAGCTTCCAAACCCGTGGGTAATATCTCAGAAATGTCCGAAGCTCCTAGCACCGAAACCAAATTCATTTTTAGATCAAGTAGACGATCAGTTAGAGTTAAAGACCAAATCGACAGCAACGATTTAGTTACATAAAATTATTAAAATGAAACTAAACAATAAATTGAGGAAACGTTATTGTTAGTTTTGTTTCTTTCATTTACATTATTCTTAATTTATTGTGAGATACTAATTTTGGGGTGAATGAAAGTTTCACAAAAAAGTATAGGTCGAGCTTTCGTAAGAAAATCAGAAATAATTTTCGAATTTACTAGTTATTTCATGTTATCTGTGCTGTCCTTGATAAAAGTAGATAATAAAACTTATTTTTTTAAATGTTTGATAGTTATTCTAATTATTCAAACCAATTAGACTAATTTAGGTTACATAATATTAGAAGAAATAAATATTGAAAAGGGAAATTTCGTAGGTCACGACATAATGCAATCTGAAGTAAATGGAAAGTACCAGAATTTGTGTAATTTAATTTCCATTATTATACTATAGTGTACCGTGTTTGACAATGTTATGCAGTTCTGCGGTTTCATTTGGTTTGCTGGATAATTTAAATATATTCTTATATCTGATACCGCTTTTACCACATCTTCTTCTAAAATATGGTGAATATCCATAACCAACTAACCCACGAAATTGCACGTTCCCATTTCCCCTATTTCAAGGAACTTATTATTATTTCAGGATTGCACGGGGAATTCCCCTGAAACAACACTAAAATGTGCTAAAAAGCATTTTTTTCTCCAAAAATAAAAGATCACATTTCGACGACAGGTAATTCGATATTGCTTTCGGCGTAATACGTGCCTATTTGGCAAGGTCAGAATTAAAAGCGAATATTCGTTTATCACGAGTCGGCAGTACGGTCGGTCGGGAGTTGCTATTTGCCATTCGTACACTATAATTATCAACGGTACATCGATTGTTAAAAATCAAATTAATTAAAAAATATAAAGTGGATATTTGTAGTAATAATCAAAATTTCTTTCAAGAATTAAGGCGAAGTGTATACAAATGTAAAGTTTGTTGTTGTTTTTTAATATTTAAGCACTGAAATCGTAAAAACTCTTTTATGATTCGTTCACTCACAGTTCTTCGGCAGTAGGCAAACGTTGTTTCTGAAGTTTTCTTGTACTACTAGTCTGAGTTACTACAAGCTTATTGATAGAATCCAAGCGACAAAAACATCGAAATGATAACGAATTGTTTAGTAATTTACTAAGTAGCTTAAAAACAAATTTTCCAATTAAAATTTAAAAGTTAAAAGAATTTTTATGATAAAGTTATACTTATACTAAAATATATTTATATATATATATATATATATATATATATATATATATATATATATATATATATATATATATATATATATATATATATATATATATATATATATATATATATATATATATATATATATATATATATATATATATATAGTAATTATGAGGGGTGTTTTTTTTCGATGTATAGAACTTTAAGTTGCAATAAAACAACGATGGATTATTCGATTGACATGAATTTAATTTATCCGAAAGATAATCTTGTGGCATTACATTTTAAATATGATTTCTGGCATATGACCGCCACGGCTGGCACGGATGTAGTCCAATCTCGACGTCCAATTTTCGATGACTTTTTCCAACATTTGTGGCCGTATATCGGCAATAACACGGCGAATGTTGTCTTCCAAATGGTCAAGCGTTTGTGGCTTATCCGCATAGACCAATGACTTTACATAGCCCCACAGAAAGTAGTCTAGAGGTGTTAAATCACAAGATCTTGGAGGTCAATTCACAGGTCCAAAACGTGAAATTAGGCGGTCACCAAACGTGTCTTTCAATAAATCGATTGTGGGACGTGCTGTGTGACATGTTGCGCCGTCTTGTTGAAACCACATCTCCTGGACATCATGGTTATTCAATTAAGAAATGAAAGAGTTAGTAATCATAGCTCTATACCGATCACCATTGATTGTAACATTCTGGCCATCATCGTGTTTGAAGAAGTACGGACCAATGATTCCACCAGCCCATAAAGCGCACCAAACAGTCAGTTTTTCTGGATGGAACGGTGTTTCGACATACACTTGAGGATTAGCTTCGTTCCAAATGCGGCAGTTTTGTGTGTTGACGTAGCCATTCAACCAGAAATACGCTTCATCGCTAAACAAAATTCGCTTATGAAAATCGGGAACAATGGCAATCCCGTTTTGGGCCCGTTCGACGAATCTACGCCTTACTTGATAATCGTTTGATGAATTGCCAAACCAAATAAATCACTTGACAGCTGTTAAAACGGTTGCCATCTTGAATAGTAATGCCAACTTAAAGTTCTATACATCGAAAAAAAAAACACCCATTATATATTGTTGTTAAATATGTAAATTAAACGTCTTATCTAAACTGGAGATACCCAGAATATTATGATTTAGCTCAACAGGTCTCATTCACATATCTCGGGTTTCGGAGATGCAGGGCGTTTAAAGTTTAAATTTTATTCGGAATTTTCTTATTAATTGAGAAAGTTTTTATAGCATAATAATAAAAAATTGGCAGTTTTAGTTTTTTTTGACATGATAATTACGACTTTGAAACTTATTTGGAGTTTGCTCCTAGGTTTCACCGTGATATTAATATAAATCGATTTAATTTTTTTTATCTGCCGAGTTGTAGTTGAACGATGATGAAAATCTGCAAAAATATTCAATTATTCGTAGAAGTGCCGTCTAATTCTGTCGGATTTTTTTATTGAAT